TTTTTAAATTCTTATTTAAAAAAAGCAAAGTAGCATTAGAATATGGAAATGAGAGTATGGGACAGAAGGGATTTTAATCTTCATTATGTAATTTTAATACAGTGTAGGTGTTTCAACAGATTCTTGTGGTGTTTGCATTTCAAAAGTTTCCACTTGCCTACTTTTAGTCATTCAATTTGGTCTCTTCACTAAGTAATCATTCGAGTTGGGATTAATTTTCTGCATGAAAACTGATTCAGAGGGTGTGGTGGATTGTCCACACCTGTTTATATTGGGCTGGTCCTTTTGACTCTGTTGTACAGCTACTCTGGGAAACAACTTTGGAGCAAGATCTTAGGGACAAGGGTTCAAACACCCAGAATGAGCTTAAATGTCTGAGAATCCTTTAAACTAATTGTGTCATTATTCAAAGCATGCTCAACAAGCATGGGAAAATTATGGTTAGGAATAAGAATCAAGCAAAGGCTATTTCTGCACATGTGGAGGTTCTGAGCTTTTCTCAATGGCATGTTTACCTTCAGCAGCCTGGTGAAGCTAGTGATCGATGCTGGGAATCATGGCTCCTTTCTCTCCTCAAAAAGGTTTTTAAATACATAAAATAATGTGTATGATTATAACAGAACAAATTATATTGCCACAGAGTTACTTAAAACAATTGTTGATAGAGCAATGTATGAGAATTTTTATGGCAGTATTAAATAACAAGATCTGGTTGTGGTGTAGCAATTTCCATAATTTCAGAGAAGTGATGAGTGTAGAGGCTATTTTGAGATGTTTTCAAAACCAGTAATGAGACCTGAACATATATATGAGTTCTGTTGGTGGTAGGCGCAGACCCTGCTAATACAATTGTAATTTGGTGTCCTACTTGAAGGTAATGCATTAGGGAAAATCAAGATGCACCTTTTCCTTCATTTAATTCAGAAACTCCCCGGAATTCATGCTCCAGGTCAGAAACCATTGGCCCAACTGAAGAATCAGAGAAAAGAAAGAGACAGGAAGAGTCAAGGTAGGAAGAACAAAGGGTGGAAAGGATAAAATCCAGCATTAGAAGGGAAAGATGCCTTTAATTGGTTTCCTGATATAAGGATGAGGAAGTGGGTAGACACAGCACATAGGTGATTGTGGAAAGCTTTGACTGGATGGCTTTAGTGTGAGTGAATGAATGAACGAATGAATGAGAGCAAGAGGTAGTTGTAAGAGAGTAGGCAAAAACCCAGATGTCACAGGCAACTCAACAAGGGAGAAGATCCAGCTAAATCTGGGTTCTGTCCTGTGTGTGCAGAAAAGGCTAAATGGTTGGTTGGTGAATGGTGCTTCCAAGGGGCCTCAGAGGGGTTGAACAAACAGTGTGAAAAGACAGATAACGAATCCATGAAGATGTTAGGTTTTGGAGATTGGCAAATAGGAAAAGCAATAACAAAGGAGAGGGTTGAAGGTGAACTTGGAGTGTTAGGGACATGGTTATTTAACACTGTGGCTGACACCGAAACATTTCCAGTAGGTGCCAACAACACTAGATGTTTTAAAGTTCTTGTAAGAATTCCTCCCTCATTCCTTTCCATCTGCAGCCCTCCTCCTCCTCATACAAGCTATTCCTAGAACAGATTCAGGCCTCTGTCAGCCACAGAGGATGCATATTTGAGATGTCTCATGTGATATTTACTTCTCACAACCATCCATATCTGAAATGCATAGCTCTCCAGCCTCCCATCTGTATTTTTATCTCATCTGTCTTACCCTTGGCATGAACTGCGCTTTCTTCCACTGTTTTCTTCATGGCAGAAATCTGAACGTCAGGTCCAGACTCCTCGGCTAGCACACTGAACAGCTGGCCACATGTTAGCAGCTCTGAAGGCCTAAGATGACACAGGAGCCCTGATCTTGCCTGATTCCCTGGGGCTTTGTTAGCTATTATGCCTGCCTGGTCTTTACACACAAGGAGTTTAGAGTGATTCAGCCATCCCCAAGGAAACCTCATATAACTTATTCCTGACTTAGACCTGATTGAGACCCTTTAGTTTTATCTAAGAGGGATTTGGGGGAGTTGAAGGCTGAACTTGACCCAGTGGGCTCTGCATATGGTCCACACATCAGCTGTAGCCACCTAAGGCCATATTAGGCTCCACTCTCCTAGGGCACTGATGACCAGTGATGAATGGGTCATAATATAGATTGTGATTCTAGGATTGAGCCCATCAATAACCAAGAAATGAATTAATCTAAGCCAGGCGTGGTGGCATATGCTTGTAATCCCAACACTTTTGGAGGCTGAGGTGGCGGGGGTGGGGGAGGAGGTGGTGTCACAAGTTTGACCCCAGCCTGGGCAACTTAGTGAGTCTCTGTTTCAAAATAAAACATAAAAAGGTTGGGGCTGTAGCTCAGCGAAGAGGCTCTGAGTTCAATCTGCAGTTCTCTGGGGGATGGGGACAGCTGATCCTACATAACTGCAGGCTACATGCCTGGGGGTTTGGTTCCACACCTGCAGATATAAGTACAGATAGAAGTAAGTAGAGATTGAATTGCATAGTACTGAACATATAAAAACATTCTTCCCTATCGTTCCCTACACAACACAGAAGAGCAACTATTTACATAGCATTTGCATGGTATCAGGTATTATAAGTAATCTAGGGATGATTTAAAGTATACAAGGGTATGCAAATTGTATGCAAATATTATGGACTTTTATATAAGGAGGTGGAATATCCTTGGATTTTGGTATTGATAGGGGTCTTGAAATTAATCCATTTGGATACCAAGGGATGACTGTGATTCCCCACGAAAGACTCCTAAAAATTAATGAGTATTTCATTTGCACACATGCCTGAAGGGAACAAGTTTGGTTGGATCCAAGTTGATCAGAATCTGTATAACATTAGCAGCTTTCTGTAATCCACATGCCACGTTAGAGAGAGTCCAACCATGAAGTTAGATATGATGGAGTTTATCTTGAAGAGTTGTGATTGGACCACAGTAATGCTATACAAGCTGTCACAACTCGAGTCATCCTTCAGGAATTTATTCTACAGATGTAGAGCCAGAGATAAGATTCAAAAAGGAGCCTGAACTTGAACGAACAAGGCCCAGAATTTTGAATGGTTTCAACTTGCACAAGCTTTTTAGTAGTTTTGGCTCAAGTAAGCCGCAGCGCGTCTTCTGGTCTTGACTTGGCGCCAGCTCTGTGGAGCGACGTGTCTTTCTCATCTCCATCAGCTAGACCTTTTGGACGGCCTTCCAGCATGCTTGAGGAAAAGCCTCAAATATCCAGGCAAAGGGATCTTCCCTGGGTTAGAGAAGAATAAGGTGAATATAGGTCAATAAATAGCAGCCTGCTGCTTAGAGTGAGGTGGGTTTTGTATCTATACTGATTTCTGCATATTCTGTAGATATGCAATTCATTCTCTAATAATTGAAGCAGTCAATTTATTTTGAAAATTGAATCACTCGGAGTTACCACAACAGGTACTAAAAATGCATAGATAAAAGAAGCCAGAGGTGAAGCTGGAAGACGGTTTTGTGTCTAAGGGACAGGTGGGGAGACAGACAGGGTTCATGGTTGGCCACTAAGCACAACCTGAATGACCTGCTATGTAACTGCGACTGTTTATTTCAGGCAACACGTACAGAAGATGAAAGTAGTTGTTCATATCCTGTGATATTAACAGGAGGCAGTAAACGTTGAGGATCCCTTGTCACAAATACTTGGAACTAAAGGTGTGTCAGATTTCAGGGACTTGGGGATTTTGGAATATCTGTACATTGCTGAGCATCCCTGCTCTAAAAATCCAAAGTCTGCAATGTTTCAAAATCCAAAACTTCTTCTATATTATGTTGCCACTCAACAACTTTTGGATTTCACAACATTTGGATTTCAAATTAGGGATGCTAGATCCACGTAATCCCTGGTTTACAAAGCAAGACAAGGGCCTCAAATTGGGAGAAACCAATATCACTAACAAAATCCAAAAACTGATAAAGGAATGACTAATTCCTACATCAAAAATTTCTATAAATGCTTAGGAAGTCTAAGACTTCCCTCAGGTGTTGTGTCGGTCAGTTTGCTAAAGGAAACACAGAGGGTCCTATCTCAGTGATACTTCACATTTGGCTGATGGTGCATTTAGCTTTGAAAGCCTTCTCTTTCACGGCTTTAGACCTGCTCTGAGATCTTCTACAGCACCACAAGGTATGAGTCTGGTATGTGTGCACAGTTACAATCTATGGAGATGGGGGTTTCGCAGCAATGTTATTGGCTTGGTGGCTTGATGCATTCGGAGTGCATCAGTGCCAGGACTTGCTCAGGAAGAAATGCATACTGAGGTGTCAGGTTTTGTGTTATTCTAATTTTTAACTGTTGAAGTAAAAACAAAGCATGGCCCCAAAGACGTACTCCCGTGCATTCTGACCCAGAAAGGGGTTAAAAAGAAGGGGCTGCCCATCCAAGAGACAACCTGCACCACACACATTTCAAATTGGCTTGAGCTCGGTCCACAGCGGATGCTCTTTAAACAGTGCTGAAAATAAGTGAGTGAAGATCCCTTTGTAAACAGTAAGTGAACCTGCTAGCAAAGGCCTTTCAGAGTGTGGTGTGCAGTATTAGTCATTAATACTAAAATAACAGGGGGATGCTAAAATTTGGTCCTGCCTCTGAAAGCTATGCTATCTTCCTGTTTGGATTAGCTTTACACACACACACACACACACACACACACACACACACGCCCCATAAGAGGTCTTACATAAATCATCACCCCTCCATTTTCACATTTTCAAAATGAGGGCTTGAACCCAATAGGCCCACTTCTCATAGTTAATGATTCTCAACTGGAAGTGGAAGGTCAGTCGACTCCCCTTGTTCAGCTGCAGGGATGTTGACCCGTGACAGCTGCCCCCAGCACGCACTCACCTCACATGCACCCCTCTGTGCTCCCAGCCCTCAAACTGGGCAGGCGCCTAAATTATGAGCCCTTGGGTGTAGGAAATGAGAAACCACTGGCTTTGTATTTTCTTTGAAATCTTTATTTGCCACTTGCACCCTTTTATCCCACCACTGCAAACTATGGAAACCAGTTGGAGGCCATGTTTGGTGTGGCCCAGGCCAGCTGGCTATGAGGGGATCCCAAGCCCAAGCCTCACACAGGTAACAAGGGCATCTGCCAGGAGCCCGGGGCAGCAGACCCCAAACCACTCACTGGAGGACACACGGGAAGGCCACTTCCCATGGTAGTTTGGCCTTTAAAACACAAACAGCATTGTCCTTTGTTGTTGTTGTTTTTTGCTTTAATAATAAAAAAGGAAAACCAAAACCTTCTATAATTTATAAGCTATTTTTTGCTATCTACATTATATATAAAATATAGACTCTGTTTACTTTATAACACACATCTTTTTCCCTTGATAAATTAACTCTTTAAAATATCTAGTATACATGCCTTGACTTTTATATATTTTTTATACATTTACATACATATATACTCATGTTTGTAGAACACAATAAATATATGCTGGACAAAGACAACAAAACTGATGCAATTTTGGTTTAAAAAAAAAAAAAACCACATACACACAAAACAAATGAAAAGCACTAGGCAGCAAACAGAAAGCCGTAATTGCAAGATACTTTTCCCTCCCATGGACAAGGCACAGGGCAGCACGAAGGAGCGGGTCAGGTCACAGCTTTTGTTTCTTCACTTGGTATTTCACTTGGCAAAACGAGTAAGTCACTGTGTTTACGAGGAGGAACCAAGGGACCCTTTTAGTAACTTAGCCCTTGTGTGGCTGCAGAGGACGGCACGGAGCATCGAGGAAGAGGAGAGGTAAGGACATGGCGGCTCCCTGGCTAATGTGTACTCCATGCCCAGCTGGGCTCTGACTGCCACGTGAAGCATCAAGCCATTGCATTCAGTAGGTTCTTTGTATCACTCTATCCACTGCTGGTGTGAACCCAAAGGACGGCACAGATTTGGAAGTGCAACACTTCCGGAGCCGTAAAGAGACAGCCAGCCACATTGGTGGCCCTCTCAAGGGCTCCAGCCAATAGGGACCACAATGTAGAGGAGAAAAGGGCCAATAGGCTGCTACCTTCCCTTCCTAACTGTGGTCACTTGGATACAGCACTGGCTTCCAATGGGACCACTAAACCCATCACTTGTAAAGAAGCACAGAAGAGCATTCTGGGGCAACCTGGACAATCTTCTGCTTGTATGTCCAGGTTGGGACAGGCCAGGAGTGCCCAAAGCCTACAAAGCCTCTGAAACCACCCTTCAGACACGCTCAACTTTTCCTTCCTAGCCCTCTTCCCTCTCCCCAAAATGGAACTGAAATATAGGGTTCTGTAGCTGATTCTGTTTTCCACCAAGTTCCCCAGTGTCATGACTTTGTTCCTGTGAACTCCAGGACTTTGATGGTCAGTGGGTGGAGTGTGACCAGCAGTGGGTTCCTGGTCACAGTCTACACTTATATCCAGCAACAGGGAAGAGGGGCAATATACATACAACCCAAAGGTGAACATCCAAATGTATGCCCCACCCTTGCCAAATAAATACAAGTTACAGACAATGGTTCACATTACAGTCACAATGGAAAACTTTAAACAGCTGGGAAGTACATTCAAAACACAAGTGAGCTTCTGCCACAGCTCGGGGAATGCAGTCCAATGCAGGTCTGACGCCTAATTCTAACTTTTCCACTGACCAGTCCCGGGACCTCACAACTGGTCACTTCCCTCTCTGAGCTTCCTGTCCCCACCTGAAAGCTCATAACTGTGCAGCAGGGTGGGCCATAGAGCCAGGTTTCCTATCACTGAAGAAGTGAGGTGACCTCAGCCATCACTTACTCTTCCTGGGATATAAAGTGCAAGGACTACCATATTAGACTCTGAAATCCCTTCACATACAACTGCAATTTTCTTTGCCCTAGGATATCACTAGCAGCTGATTTTTTCCTGTGCTCACCAGCTAACTTGTAAACACAGGTCAAAGGCAACAGTCGCAGCTGCCGCACAAGATGACGAGAGTGAGGACTGAAAGGGCTCAAATGCACAGCTGAAGTCCAAGTCACAGCAAATGAACCTTAAAAGCCCCGCTGCCTGTGAAAAGTTTCCCTATGTTACACTCAGGCCCCTCCAAGTCCACGGCCATCTAGCACAGACATCAAGTTCTGAAAATCCCCAACTCTGAGGTGTACTTGGTCACCTATAATCAAAAAATGATGAGGAAAATCCATTTTAAAGGAAGCTGAGTGATATTTTCATTCTGGAAGGAGAGAAAAAAAGAATCAACTACTTCTGTCTGGGGCTTTAGGAACTCACTTCTTGCAGAAGCTCAGAGGTAGTGCCCTGCTCCGTAGGCGGGTGTGGAGATCTCCATCTGCTCTTATCACGGCGCTGACCCAGACACCCCAGGGCTGGACAGGGGGCGCTTTTCCCACCCGGGAAGAAGAGCCAAAGCCCAAATTGGGTTGAAAGAAGAAAGGTTTTGGATTAAGTGAGCCTACTTCTGCTTGCTAGTTGTGTGACGCTGGCCAGGTCACTTTCTCCTGTGTGAAGAGAACGGTTGTCCCCAGCACTCTAGGGTCAGCTTAGGGATCGCATGAGCTCGTGTGCTTGCATACCATGCACACAGCAGGGGAGGTGTTGGAGTTGGCCAGTCTCAGCTGGGCTTGCACCTGCGGAGTCCAGCTAACCCAACAGAGTTGGGACTTGGTGTGCTAAGGTACATGGGAGGCTTCCCACAGCGCCATTTTCTCAGGGAAGGGAGCAGTCTTAGAGAAACTGACAGTAGTCACTGACTCCAAACTTTCCAGATAAGTCTGAGACTTCTCAAACACTTGTGGATACCAGGCAAAAACCCTGACCAACAGCAAAGAGCAGCTTCTACATAATAACAGGAACAAGCTAGGCAAGGGGGACACTATCCATGCTGCCTCCATCAGGCTTTGAATCAATGAAAGCCACAGAGGCTGGATTATTGCTGGGACTTAGTCTGAGGCCAAAGTTAGGGGTGATACCCAACCCCCCAAGCGTACTGGGTTTGAGACAGTCCCACAGAACATTGATGAATGCTTAGAGCTTCAGCTTCAGATTGCTGATCCTGGTCAGCGCTTTGCACGTGGTTAGGACAGGAGCAGAAGGAACATTAAAGAAATCTCTTCCCCACTGCTGTCATTCTTCTGTTAAAAAAAAAAAAGAACGACCTAGATCTTAATTCTTCCTTGTTCCTACATCTACCTACTACATGCATTTCAGTAGCTAAAATTTGAGTACACTTACTAAAATTTTTTCATGCTTCTTTTAAAGTCTATTCTTTTTATATCTCCCAGCCTCAAATGAGAATTTTTGTTTTAGACACTGAATATGTATCACAGAGCCCTGAGGCCTTTGGGATCTCTCGTGTATCAGGTAAGTACACAAACATAAAATCGAACCCACAGGAATACCTATGACTTAGAGAAATGAGGCCTATGGAGTCATCTACTTTCCCTTCACCCAGTCAGCTGACCACTGCAAAACTGGAAATGCTGACCATGAAGTGACCATAACCTGTCAACTCACTCAGGACCACGATGAGGCACGGCGAGTCTCCGCTGACTCACTCTGCTGTGTGGCAGTAAGGCCATGGGAAGCAGAGCGAGCAATCCTTACGCCTTCATCTCAGAAAATAAGTGACCTCCCTTTGGTGTCTAGACACACCCACAGTGTGCCTGTGGGTAGCCAGGGGCTTTGACATGTACTGACCCCAGGGAGGAGGACAGAGGATGTGTTCGTTTTTAGGTGTTGCATGTTTGGATAAAGTCTAGGCGGGGAGTGGACACCAGATCATGTAAATCCCCTTCTAATTCTACTGCTGGTTATCTGCAAAGAAGTCCACACTCCACTGCACGCCAAAGACTGCTGTGTGACTTCAGTGAGCCCGTGAACAAAAGTTGTGTAGCCTTTCAAGGAATAGCATCCACATCCGGCTTTGGCAAATATTTCACAGGGAGTGAAAAGTTAGAAACAATAATGCCCCGGTTTCAAAATGTGCTTGACATAGTCTTTCTTTCAAGACCAAATCTGAATTTTAAAAGATGATATCTGTGCGCCTTAATGATAGGAAGCTTAACAATCACGCATGCACGTGTGGCTACACACGACTGGGTGTTCCTTTTGGCTCGTGCTTCCTGTCACTCATGAAACCTCTGAAAATAGCGGGGAAAAAGAAAGCAACAGGAGAGCAGGCAGAAGAAATTTTCCCAACATTACACTTCTTCCCCCTCCGAGATTCCTACACCTCCAATTTAGAAATCCTGAACACTATGTCCTTGCTGTCCTTTTGCTTAATGTCTACTCTGAAGTTTTCAGGTATCCACATCTTGAGAGCCAGGGCTAAAGCAAAGGAAAACAACCTCACCTCTTCTCATTAAGGGAAGGGAATTCTATCTGAGTGGAAGTGAAGGCTTCTCTTTTATATCCACAAAGCTGGGTACAACTGCTAACTAGAGATCAGTGGTAAAGCCCGCTGCAGCTCCAGGGCTTGGTCTTTTCCCTTCGGTTTGAAAACTCACACAGCCCAAGGCTGTCCCCGGTCCTGGAGGGCAGCAGAGGAACTCTCATAGTCAGACCCCTTGCAGCATGGTGTTCTTGGTGCTGCCTGGAGAGCCAGGTGACCACGAACGCTGCTTCCTCTCTCCCACCCTTCCTGGAAGCTCTTTGTGGTTGTCCCACTGGGGACAAGCTCAGAGGAACAGTTCCTTCCCCGCCTCCCCTGCGTCGCTATAGTGGTCTCACCTTTCAGCCTGGGAGAACCTGTGCTATGCTACCTATGCTTGAGGCTCCCTTACTGCAGCAGCGGAAGGGCTGGAGAGCCACTGTCCCGCTTCCTAATTAAGGAAACTGCACCTTCCTACCACCTACTTTTCCTTCAGACACCTTAAGAAGAATCAAAAGCAGCTTCCTGGAATTGAACTTCCTCCCTAGGCCAACAGGCATGCTAGAGACTTTGTGAGGCATGTTAGTGACATGAGCTCACCATCTGGCACACCCATGGCCTTCCCAGAGGCCAAGGTGCCCGGGTGGATGAGGTAGGGAGGGAAGCAACCCCTCCTGGCTTCTCACATTGCAGGGCAGCCAGGGCTGCTCGACCTCCTCCCGTGGATAGAAACACCCAGCAGGGGCAGGCAGGGATGGTAGGCCTTCCTGAATACTCCCCGGGTAGTGCTCGGTCCACAACACTGTCTGGGGTCCCTGACCGGGCCAGCAGCCCCCTTCTTAGATAACATTTATTCTCCCCCACTGTGCATTCCCACCAGGTCCACGTTAACAATAGAGGGACATCCTGCTGCGGCGCATGGCCTCGCTGATCAGGTAGGCGGGGCTCAGCTCGGGCTCCTCGGTCATGATGGCGATGTTCTGCCACTCGCCCGTCTGGCTGGACCTCTTGATGGTGTCCACCACGCAGAGCGCGTACAGGCAGTCGTCGAAGGTGGCGGCCATGGTGAGCGGCTGGCCGTCCCAGGTGCGCCGGTCATCCTGGTCCTGGAAGGCCTGGCGCACGGCCTGCATCATCTTCATGGTGCCACGCAGGTAGGGCGCGGGGATGTCGCTGAAGGCCTTGGCGGGCAGCAGCGAGTTGCTCACGGGCGTAGCATCCTGCAGCAGCAGCTCCTGCTCCGCCTCGCTGTTGCGCTGCCCGTACAGGTCGGTGCCCACGGCCAGTAGGCGCCCGGCCGAGCCCACCACGGTCACATCCTGCTTGAATTCGCCGGGCACGTTGAAGTTGAGGGTCACAGTGCAGCATACGCCGCCCTCCAGCACCATCTGGAAGGTGCAGAAGTCGTCGCTGGTGATCTGGCGGATGCCCTTGATGTGGTCCGTCTGCTTGACAAAGGTCTTGAGCAGCCCATGCACCTTGACGGCCTTCTGGCCGGTGAGGAAGGTGAGCAGGTCGATGATGTAGGTGCCCACCGAGTGCAGCCCGCCGCCGCCCATCAGGTCGTCACAGCTCCAGTTGTACTTCTTGCCCAGCAGGCTGCCGCCGTGCACCTGCACCTCGCACACCAGCAGCTCCCCCACGTAGCCCTCCTGGATCAGCTGCTTCATGCGCACGAAGGCTGGCAGGAAGCGCAGCACGTTGCCCATGATGCTCATGAGCTTGGGGTAGTAGTGGGCCGCCGACATCATGCGGAAGGCGTCCAGCGGCGTGGCCGTGCGGTCGCAGATGACGTTCTTGCCAATGCCTGCGGGGAGCAAGGACAGCGGGTCAGCGCACGGAGCGGGCACTAGGCGGCGCAGTGGCGCCGGAGTGTGAGCCCCGCCCCCTAGGTTAGTAAATATTGATGCTATTTATGTACAATTATTACTATTTACTATCACTTAGGAAACTCTGGTAGTGAAACTTTAACCACACTTTTTCCTTATATAAAATACATCATATACACCACAACATTACTCTAAGTACTGAAGTCCGATTGACTTAATTAATTATAATAAGTCATTGGTGTTGATTTAAATAGTAAAGTTTTAAAAATATACTTACATAACCTATATTTTAAAATATTTACTGATATAAGTGAGTGCTTTAATATTTTCACAAATCTATAACATTTTATAAGCAATTGTCTTACTTATAAAATAACACAAAATATATACATACAATAACATGGTTTTATGGAAGCACCCGATATCTTTTAAGATTATCTTATATACAAAATATTTTATGTGTAAACTATGTTAATTTAAAAGGTATTATTGGGCTGGGGATTTAGCTCAGCGGCAAAAGCGCCTGTCTGGCAAGCGCAAGGTCGTGAGTTCGGTTCCCGGTACCGGAGAAAAACCAAAAAAAAAATAAATAAATAAAAGGTATTATTATTTTAAATATCCTGAATGTTTTTAGAATAAGGGGAGCAGTATCTAGACACAACCAGGATATGTGAGCTTAATTCCCAGCCCAGGGAGTTTAATTAAGTGAGGAAGAATTTCTTAATGATACCCTTTGAAGGTCTAAGCTTTTGGCATTCTGCCTCCCCCTCCCTCAGGGTTGCATTTGGAGCCTTATATATGTATTTTTTTTAACATTCTAGATTAGGGCTGGCAGTGGTCACAGACTTTGTTACATGGAAGAGTGGGCTATACCCCCCACCCCATCTGCCCAAGGGTAGAGTTTGTTGCTTTTGGCCAGTGACACTCAGGCCACATAAGAATTAGTCTTGTGTGATGTCTGTAATGGGTATATAAATTACAGGGACTGCAAGATGCTGCCTGAGCCCTTTAGCAGACTAAGTGGTTCTGGATCTGGCACGAACAAAAGATCAAAGAGGGACAGGGACTTTGAAGGGGATTTATTCTGCAGAAGCCAAGCGTCAGGGAAAGAGAAAAACAACTCTGCTGGATGTGGAGAAACCGCTAACTGCAACTCAAACAACAAAACACGGGTCTGTTAGCATGCCTGGTAAAACACATGCAAGGTCACATGACTTGGGGGTTCTGAGTCAAGGCGTGTGCCTGTGGCCCAGTCTTCACACACTGTCAAGTGGAGCCTGGGGACTCCAGCTGCAGATGTGGGGGAGTGACCCCGACAGAAGTAGGATAATGAGACACCTAGGAACTCTTGGAACAAGCTGAGCCAACACCAGGTTTCGTGGAAGCCCTGCAGATGTCTGCTCGGTGCAGCCTGGAGTGTGAACCATCTTGCAGGAGCGGGCCGCACAGTTGAAGTGATCAGGGCAAACTGGAGAAAAGAAATACTACACTAGCCGTCAACTTCCAGGTGCACATCTAGTTCTGGCCCCAGAGCCCCAGAGTGGCCACGTCTCTCTGCCTTTTCCACACTGGCAGAGCGGGGCTGGCCCTCCTCGTGACCAGCCCTGTGCAGTCAGAAGCTCTTTTAACTCCTAGCAACCAGGTGAGGGCAGGGACTCTCGCAGAGGGATGAGGTAACATTCGTCTGTATCTCGAAAACGGCCATGCACCTGTATAACAGCACATTGTGATGATCTGATCTCATAGGCATTGGGCTCACACTGCCAGGCAGAGATTTATATATGTAAATGGACAGGGACAGGTGACAAATACTGTCAAGATCTGCCTCACACCCGTGGGGTATAAGCTCTGGCTTTTGCTATACTTTGCCTCAAGGTCCCCAAACCAGAACATCGGACTGCCATCTCCTCAGTTCACTCTATTGGTCAGATGGATGGTAGGGTTTTTTGGCTTTTTTTTTTTTTTGTGGTAACAGGCCTCAAACTCAGGACCTCGTGCTTGCCAGCCAGGCATTACACCACTGAGCTATACCTCCGGCCTGGATGGTAGTTTTTTTAAAAAAGTTTTTCTATTGTAAAAACTAAGTAGAGAAAAATAAGTCACCTCCCTTACCGTGTACTTCCCAATAATCACTGAATGGGACATTCTGAGCAGCTCTGCAGACTCTGATGAAAGCTCCAGAAAAGACAAGATGAAATACCCACAAACAAACTATGCCGTCCTGACTCACACTTGGATTCTCACAGGTCCAGGCATCTCTTTCTTTAGGATATCTGTGCATACTGTAATGCCACACTACCCAATAAGTTCCCCAAGGATAAACCTAGAGTTTAGTGTCTCCAGTGTCCACAGCACTATGTCTTGCATATGGCGGGAAAACTGCACAGACTGTCAACCGACACCACCTGAGCCTGAAGTCTTTTGCGATATACATGCTGCACAGATGGGCCTAGGTAGTACCTTAACATACAATGTCCTCAAAAATCAGAAGAAATTTCTAGGAAGCTATCCCAAGGAAATAATCTAAAAATGTAAGCACAGCTTTATGCCCAAAGGTGCATCTCACTACGTCATTTATTAAAACAAAAAGCTAGGCACAAGGCAAATGGCCAACACTACAAGCATGGATATGAAAACTGGGCTAGGGCCATATAATAGAACATTGTACAGCCACTGAGGATGATGCCCACAAAGGCCGTTCAATGGCAAGTGAGATGATTATGAGGTAATGTTATCAGAAAAGGGTTCTATTCATAGGCATACTTGGACCTCAACTCTGAAGAGACAAAGCAAAACGCCAGAATGGACTACCTCAACGTGTTTACAGTGGGTCACTGTAATTAGCAGGGTCAGGACTGCTTTTTCTTTCTGGTGCGGGGGATTGACTGAACTCAAGGCTTCACACATGCTAAGTAGCGTTCCTTCTATTGAACTGCATCTGCAGCCCCAAGATTTTTAAGTTTCTGATGTTTTGATCTGAAAAAAATACTAGTTTTCAAGCCTAATGAGACAAGATCGTCAAAGGACAGCACTCAGTGTTGACAAAGTGACCTGCAGTGTCGGAGGTCCCAGTTCTCATGGACCTGTTCCTTGTCCCTGTGACCCAGTGAGATGGGCCAAGCATCCTGACCTTGAACTGTGCGAGTGTCCGAAGCTCAGGCGTTGTGGCCTGGTCTTCCTGCTCTGATGGCTCAGAACCTCTTTATGAGGGGAAAAAATGCTGTCCCGCCTCACCTTGCATAGTGAGGGGAGAACCTGCTTTCTCACTGTGAGGGGGCCGTGTTACAGCAAGGATAGGAGAGCCATCCCTGTACCCAGTGCCCCTCAGAGCTCCCCAAGACATGCACGCTCTGGGCTGCGGGTTTACGCTGTCTTACAGCAACACAAGGCACCCTCCTTCGAAGGCCAAAGATCAGAAGCTCAGCGACTTCAAACAACCTTACAGAAAAGCATGCTGCAGAGAATGAAGCAAAGGCACTGAGAACATCTAGGTCCTATTTCACTCCAAAGCCACAGCCAGTGCGAAACAGAAAGCAGGGGGACAGTGCCTGGGAGGAAGTGTGCTATGTCCATGCTAAGCCCCGACAGTCCCAAGCAGTGGATGGAGTTTCAACAGAGACCAGGATACTCATGGTGAGAGGAACAGGCCGGCTTCCTAGGTGCCCTGGGGTGGGATGGGGCGGTCACCCTGCTGCTCCCACTGAGGGCCTGGGAGCCCCCACGCCGGGGGCTGTCCCTGTGCACAGAAGTGGGTATCCTGGAATGTCACCCTTGTCCACACAGTGCAGCATGGCCGTGGGCGGGTGGCGGAGGACACACCGGGACATCTGCCTAACCCTCTTCTGCACAGACCATTTACTCCCTTGCAAAGGCCTCTGGGAGGCTTCGGTCTTCAACCTGCTTTATTTTTCAATACCAGAAGCCCTCAGGAGCACATCAGGCGAGAGCACTGTGCTGGCAGCGGGAGGACACCCTCCCACCTACTCTCAGAGCTGAGGCTGGCAGCGGCCTGAAAGGGATGGAAACCTCCGCTGGTGGAAGTGCTATCGGCGAGCAGGGTGCCTGCTCTGTCAGAGCTTTTACATTAAATAATTTCAGAAGCAGCTTTACCACCCTCCCGAGGGCTCTCAAGGGGGAAAGGGAAACCCGGCTTCCTCTACAGCCTGCTGAGTGTTTTCTGTAGCTGAGCTAAAATATCCATGGCCCTTATGGGGAGATGGTGCCCTAGGAACGGCTTCCAAGCAAGAGGTCTGCAGCCACCCCAAGCAGAACTCGGGGTCTGCAAGACACAGCTGAGTCCCGGCTCAGGTCTCTCTACCAGCAGGAGAGACCAGGGCGTTAGCAAGGGCAGATCCTTGATGTGACGGTCCCTTGTTCCTCCTAGGAGGGAGCTTCCCAGGGATACCCCCAAGGAAAGACACCGGCTCTGCGTACCCACTGCGTAGGTGGCCCTTGCTGCCCGTGATCAGACGGTCTGCTCTGTCACAGGGCCCATGCTGACACCCTCAGCCTGCAGCTTCCCAGCCTTGCTGCCTGCCTGCCGGCACTTCTCGACTGCACGCTCCCTTATCTAATCAGGGTGGAATCTGCTACTCTCCCACCTGCCCCTCCTGCTGATTCCTCTTGTGTTGATGGCCACGTATCTCCTAGAAAACCGCACGGATGCTGTTCCTGCAGGCAGCCTGGAGGAGCCCGCACCACTCCTGTCAGACAGGGCTTCCTCCCCCCACTTTCTCTGCATTAGCTTTGTTTACACACTGTTTCTTCACCATTCCTAGCTACCAGGCCCAACCAAGGAAAGCGACAATTAGAAGCTCACGGAGGGGCTCATCCAGGGAATGACTACAGGATGCAGATCTAAGAGGCGGGTAAACATGAAGCTTGAGCATCAAGTGGGGGGCTGCCCAAATAATTTGGGCCTGGAAGAAAGCAGGACAGGTGACACGTCAGCCGGGTTCTGAAGCATGTGTAGGAGTCT